CGGTCGTAGTACTCTAGGAACGTTTAGTAAATAAGTAAAAACGTAACGTATTTTTTGTTACTACACAAGTATCCTTCTACAGACGTCTCTCTCTCTCTCTCTCTATATATATATATATATATATGTGTGTGTGTGTGTGTGTGTGTGTGTGTGTGTGTGTGTGTATATATATGTAAAAAACATTATTTCAACAGCTAAGTAAACATTAACATCAAAGGGAAGGACAGTCTTAAAAATAGCAAGTCCAAACCCATGATGAAAAAACATTTTGATTATCTAAGCAAGCCTTAACAACTAAAAAAAATTTGCATATATTAAAATGATCACCAGGGCACAGGCTATAATGTGGGATATAAGATGTGCCCTGGGTTTTGGAGGTGACTGCAGAAGTAGGACCCACATAATGGTAGGGATACACCATCTACCAGTCTGGTGATCTTTCTAATATATGCAGCAATTAAGCTTTTTCTTGCTGAATATAAACAATACAAAATTATACTAATCCTAATGCAAGTTATGCTTTCTTTTACTCAATATCAACAAAATAAAAAATAACATCACCTCTTCAAATATACTAAACTATCTAACACCTAGAAACATTGCTGTCTGAAAACAAGATATTGGCATAAGGTAACGATTAAGAATAAGTGCACTGAATAAAAAAAAAATCTTCAAGTCAATAACTCAGCCATAAATAATCAACAACTGAAAGTTATAACCTTGCTTACATTTACATGCAAGTCACAATCTCCCTATACAAAGACAATATCAATTTATGAAAAAAAGATTCAAGAAGAAATAAAAAAAGGAGTTCCTTCTCATAACTGTTATGCTGAGATTTGCTAGCAAATCAAACTTTCACCACAAAAATGTAACACCATTTAATAAAAAGACATACCTAAACATATTTACACACAAAAGAATAACTATATTACCAGAAGAACTTGAAAAAATGGGTTTCCTTTTGTCAAATGTATCACAGCTTTTTTTGTGTGTGTGTTTGCTGGTAATTAAAGAAGGAAGTTTTTGTTAATCTCAGATATTCTAAATTATTTGATCCAAGATTAATGCTAACCCTGATAACACAACCCCACTATATCACAAGTAATAAGGTTTAAGGAATAATTTAATTTATCTTTCATTTTTAATTTATTCATACCTCTGTCTCCCTTAATAATACAAAGGACTTATATTTCAACTTTGATAACCACAAACCATTTTCTACATTTTTATAAAATAAACATCTTGCATGTTTTTTTAAACCCCAAATAATGCTCAGACATTCTTGCATTGTCACTGTGCCAGACAAGCTAATGGTACCAAAATACATGCTTTGGCAGATTTACAAAACTTTAGTAGAACATGTTAAATGTGGAATCACTTGAATGATAAAAACACCAACACCACAGACTTTAAACACAGATTACAGTAGAAAATTAAAAGGAATGTGAAACTGGACATCTGCAACAGCAGACACAGTAATTTTAGGATGAAACTATTTACATGAATGCTAAGGCTTCACAAAGCCACATCTTCCACTCGTTCTAGTACATAAAACTCATCTTACAACCTAATAAGCTCAGGTTTAGATTTCTTGTATGCCTGGGTAGGCTAATCAAAGAGAAAAGTTACCTGTATAATTACTCAAATCGTAAACATAACCTATATTTCTAGTCAAGAATTATGGCCAACTCTTAAGATAAACTGAAAATCTGAATATATCAAAAGTTATTTTACTTCATAAAATAAAACATTTTTAAAACTCAATTCTTAAATCCAGGATAGGCATATCAACAACTTATTTTTCATTAGTATCTATATTAATTTATTTAAATGATTCCTCTTATTTATAGGTATCTCTAGATCTATATGTTTAACTGGTTGTATCCTACCAAATATCTTAGCATAACCAAAAACTTTTACTTACTCAAATAAATTTGAATTTATATTCTAACAATGAGTAATTTTTTTTTATCTACACGGGTGAAAAAAAAAAGAATGTCCATTGACACTGAAAGTGTGTCAAATAGAGTAAATACAAGTTAACTTTTTCCTTCTCAGGATTTAAACACAACAAACTAGGAGATCGGAAATTTTTTTGGATGAAAACAAAATTTTGTTTTCATCAATATCTTGGAAGAAAACTATAGCTATACATCATATCACTTCTTTCTAATTTAATTTTATCTGTATTCTGTTTTCAAAAACATAAATAAAACTGAATAAGAACAAAACTGAAATGTTTAATATGATACAACTTACGTCCTTCGTTACAAAATAAAAATCAGCCACATGAAGTTGACAACAGCCTTTTTCACCAGTTTGTTAACTTAGGTTACATATCAGTAATTCTCATTAACAAAGACTGAAATACACAATTGGGTCAAAAAAAACAACTGATAATGTAATTTAAACTATTAAATTATTGAGTTCTAACCTTTTTTTTTTCCTGTTACAAAACTTCCATGTTTCCACATATACATGTTATGTTTGCATCCTCAATTATTCATTGATCTCTTTAAGATGAGTTTTACTGCATCACATTAATATTTCTTACTTCAACCATTTCTCAGCTAGTTTCTAATGGTGTCCAACTTTTTTCTCCAGTTTATCATCTGTATCAATCAGCTAACAGATTAATTGTTTCTTTGATTCAACAGATGGTACTGTTTTCAAAAAAATGTTCACTTCTTAATTCTCTATATGAAAGAACTAAATGATATAGAGTGCAACTCCTCCCTAGTCAAGAGCCACTTTCTGGGATGTTCGAGCCTGTTTTTTACACTGACGCTTGTGATTGCTCTGAGCCATAGAGTTAACAATCGACAAGACAAAGTAGATGATCATCAGGATTACAAACTTTTCAAACATCCAGGACAACCAACTACTTTCCTAAGCAGACAAGAAAAAGACAATTCAGATATATTTAAATAAATAAATTCAGTGCCACACAAAATATTTTAGGTTTTAAAAAAAATTACATGGTAAAGAAATCTTGTTAACAAGTAAATATGACAAATGGAATCCCCCCCCCCCCCCCAACTGAAAATTCATTTCCTTAAGTTCAATATAACACTAGAATGGAGAGCTTAAATAATTGTATAAAAATACATAAATTTTAAAACATAAAAAATATTAGTAAATAATATTGATACAAAAATAACTAAACCTCAGAAACTTTATTTTCATGTATCAAAATTTAATAGGTGATATTAAATTATCAGATAAATTACTGAATAAAAGAAGTATAACTGAATTTTTTTAAAATGTCAAACAAGTTGTTACCTGCTGCACAGGAGTTCCTACTTTACGGTGGAGTTTGGCTTTTTGCTTCACTAACAACTCTTTAAATGGTGCTTGGAGATATTTTCCAGTATAGGGGATGTACCTGATGGACAAAAATAAAATGCACTATTAGAACCATCCTTAATTTCAGATTCAATGACAAAAATAATCCAGGCAAATCTTGTTATAATGGGAATTTCCTAAAATCTCATAATGATTTGTTTGTATGTTGATATATTTACCCAGCTTGTTTTGCAAATGTAATTCTAAGAATACATGAGTGATAGCAAAGGAGGATATATTAAAACATGTCAACCACGTTACATCTGTCATATCCAGTGCCAATGAGGCCTTTCACCATCAGGGCTCATTAGGACAACTGGGATACAACAGATACACAACTGGTTCAGGTGCTATCTATATATCATCAGTTTTCATTTACAATTGTTAGGGTATGAGTCAGATTAAGCAAGACTTATATTAACAAATCAGATTTTTTGGTAATAGTTAATAACACAACATCATTTTTATTTGAGTAGTATTTATTTATTTATTTATTTGAGTTTTAACTTTACTATCATTTACAAAAACTGCCAAATCAGTAAGATAGTTTTCTTGTTCCCGAAGTGGATCATGTAACCACAGCATCAACAGGAGAAATTATGAGTAATTCTATGAACCCATGAGTGAACGAAAAGGAGAATATGGTAAAACATGTCAACCACAGAGATTTAAGTCTGTAAATGTTGATAAGTAAATTCATCAAATCACAGAATATACAGCATTTATAATCACTGTGTTTGAAGAGTATTTGATTCTTTTCAATTGTACATCACTTATGTAAAAAAAAAAGACAAATAACTAAATAAAAATAACTAATGATGGTGCCCATATGGACCACATCAATTATTTAACATATTTCTATACACTTTATGCACCAAACTGTTTATGGGTTCATCAAATTGTCCTTTGACAATGGACAGTATCATTGGAAATGATGACACTCTCCAAATTTATGATGATCATAGTTATTCATGGGATACTGGTTCTTTTGTTCCTTTAATTTTTTTGACAAAAATGTTTTTATTTTATAAATTACTTTTACTATATTCTATGACTGTTATAGAAAAAAAAAAGTTTGACAAAAATGATTCTTGTCGTTTTGTGCCACAAAATAAAATTTAAGCAAAAATACTATCAATATTGCAATTAACTCCTTCACTGCAGTAGCAGTATTTATTCCCTTTGCACCGATTTTTTTTGGTAATTTTGTTATAATGATATGGTTTTGCTAGATAGTTTCAAAACCAATAAAATGGGTTGTTTACAATGTCAAACAATCCTTTGTTCTGTGACATAATATTCATTCATCTTTTACGAATCACTTGCTCAACATTTTTAGGCCTACTTCTTTCAGTTACATAATTTATTCATCTTGATATACCAAATTATTACAGGTAAGTAAAACATATTTAGGATAAATCTTGAGGCTTCTCTGACATTTACTGCTTTGATATTTCTTGCACAAGTGTAAGCATATTTGATCCTTTTCTTTCTTTTTTTCAAGTTTATTATGGCTAAACAACAATATACTCTGTAGAAGTAAAGCAGTGAATGTCAGCGAAGCCTAAGAATTTATTCAAAAAGTTGAGTGAAAGTATGTTATCCAACTGAAGATATGCAGTAATCAAATTACTCTTGAAAACTCTGGGGTTCCCCTGTTATGCATTATATGCATAGCTAAGACAAATACATCTGTGCAGGGATATAGAAAAAGAAGGTTAGATTCAACGGCACAATGCACATATCTAAACAGAAATCATGCCATAGGCCCCACAGCAGCACAGAAAGAAAATATAAATACACCAATTACTGCTATGTATTTTACATAGAAAATGAGCAATTTGACCCAATAGTTTTTAGTCACATTTTTACAGTGTGTTTTGTAACAGGCAAAAGCATAAACGTACTTAATATGATGCAATATGTGAATCTCACCAGTAGAAAACAAGTCAGTAATTTCAGGAGAAATACACATGAATTATATCAGTTGGTAAACTAACACTAATATAACTTACTTCAGTTTACTGACTACGTTCTCCACCTGATGTTCATTAAATGCAATGATGACAAAAAGTTTCTGAATATGCATTTTGATGATAGCTTTTCCAATCAAAGTAGCACCAAAAAATGTCCAAAATGGCACCAAAAAATGTCCACAGGTTATACCTGCCAAGTCAAATAAGGGATTGGGGATCTGAAAACAGAAACAAGTAATTAAGTAAAAAATAAATAAAACAAAGTATGCTCATCAGAGCAGAGAATGGTTATCCGTAAGCAGAATGTCAGTAAATTGTTGTTCAGAAATAATATTTTAGCTATTGCAATAAATGATATGAATCAGGTTGAACAAGAAATGGGGAACGTAGACAAACAATAATTGAACAAAAAAGAAAAAAAGTGAGGCTTTCAAACATAGTAAGAGTTTTCCATGATGGAATTTTTTTATTTTGAATAAAATGTAGTGTTTCATGACATTTGAATTTTTTACTTACTGATGCACAAGCAATAATGCCCAAAAATCCAACTTTCTTCACTAACTTCTCAACTGCCAGTTTAACTTTATCTAAAGCAGACTGGAGGTGGGGAAAAAAAAGAAAAAACAATATTATTCCTTCAAAAATGTGTGAATTTCTGAGCAAAGACTATTACTCCTGTTTGACAAATGTTACTCCCATGCACACAAAAACAAAACTTTCTTGGATAATGTTATACAAGTTACAGATGTACACATCTTACCACGTATTAGAAACACAAGTATCAAAACAGAAACTTGAGGATAGTTTGAAGGCTGGTGGCATGCTAAGCTTTATTTCCCTGACAAATTGAAAGGTATTACAATATCAGAAACTGGTTACACAAGTTATAAATCCAAACAATTTTTTTCAAATTAACAACTACATAACAAATGGGTAAACTCCCAAGTTTTTATTTAATGTTTTGGAAGTTTAGATTTAAACTTATTGTTAC